AGCTACCTCCAACATGTTCTGCGTTTTCACTGAATGGCCTTGGACTTTTAACATAAATTTCTTGACTTCCGACATGTGCTGTGGACTTTCCTGGATGTCCAACATTTCACCTCAGTGTGCATGTATTACAGTGTACATGGATATTTTTTTTTGGTTCATCAAAACTTGTTTGTGTTAATTTTGGTCACAGATAATCTTTGATTTAGATAAAATAGTTGTGCATATATTTATTGGTGTATGACATTTATTTCTTTTATATATATATTAGGATAAATGTATAATCAAATTGTACTTGATGACAATAATTCCATTCAGTGGCAATTCATCTTCTGCAGGGTTCTCCACGGTTTGAAAATTAAACAGGGCGCGCCAATGTGAAGTGGGCGTGGCACATTTGTAACGTGCATCATTGGCAAGGATGTTGAAAAATGGAAACCAAAAAATCTATTAATCTACATATTATTCCATATGCATAATATATATTTATTATTACAATATAAATGAGAATTTTGAAGAGATGTTATTAAGTAAACATCAGCATGTACAATCAGCTGATTTTAGCTTCACGATTCATCACGTGGCGACGTCAGTTGTTTACCAGTAATGATCGCGTCCAGAAAAAGACAACAAGTTTGTTAATTTATTTTCCCAAATAGATACATACATGCTTTATTTAATTTTTAGCAAAAATTTATATTTATGATTTATATTTATTTAGACGAAGCAAAATAGAATGTATGATGTCACACAAACGTTCGTAATTGGTTCATTAAAAAACTTGCATGAATGGCACCAAAAACCAAGGTGATCAAACTAAATAAAATGTACACAATAGAAGATTTTCGATCTGCAGTTAACAGTTACTATCAATAATAATAGAATTAGGTATAAAAAACAAAATACATACTTAAAAGAATAATTTTCATTCGAATCGAAAGTTTGTTGATGTCTGCTTCGTTAAAAACAGCTATGACCCGGAAACAGTTCATTTTACTGTGTGCACCTTGATACTATGTAACGGTGCTTTTGATTGGCTAAAGCCACGCATTGACGCAAAAAACAACCAATCAGAATATTTGTTCCAAGTAGAACACAAGTAAATTTATTTCCTCCACTTATGATGTGAGTTGAAGGCATGGCCGTTTTATCGGGGATTTTAAATCGCGATTTAAAGAAAATTCAACTTTAAATAGTGACATTTAAATATAAACATTTACATGTTCAAGCAAGCATTTGTGTGGACTTCTTGGTGATCAGCAATGTCTGTGATGGTACGTCAACTGCGCTGGTCGTTTACCGATCATGCAAGTGCATAGCTGCCTTTGTTTCACTCGGCGGTGACGATGTTGCCGCTACAAGTCACGGCGTGAACTTGGTTTTAACCTCCATGGTTTTAACCATAGACCTTATATTTTGACGAATGGTTTTACCGATAACGATTTTATATATTTGACGTCACCCTGGCAGTAAAAATGTGGGTACGGTAATGCACTTTTCTAGGCCACATGTTCATTTTTAATCGTGTTGAAACAACTTTTTGTTCGGTGGTGTTATCACCTCACTGTGACCTGCTACGATGACAAGCCGGAATGCAATGAACCAGTTACCCTGAGAACGATGAATCATTTCGGAAGACAATGAGTGTTGGCCTGTTTTGTAAACAATTCTTTGTCTTGGACCATGCAGGGGGCACAGGAAATATAACAGGGCGCTGACAATTTAAACAGGGTGCCAATTTCAGATAACAGGGCGTGGCGCCCTGTTAAAACCCCCTCGTGGAGAACACTGTTCTGTAGTGGTGGTAATTTTGTGTTTGTACATGTACATGCTTAATGCCTTCATAATTATTTTCTGTTACAGATCACTCCCAGTGTTGAAGTTAAAATGAACGGTGAAGCCAAACCAAGTGAGGATGCTAAACACATCAAGCCTGAAGATATGACTTCCAGGGACTACTATTTTGATTCTTATGCTCATTTTGGAATTCATGAGGTAAGAATGGATTTAAAACTGTCATACTTCTGTTGATTTACTGACCTATCTATAAAAATTTAAAAAGAATTTCATTATTTGATGGTGTAAATTTGCTTGCTTCGTGAGGGGAAGAATTCATCAGGATTTTGCCAAGCAGAAACAAATTGTGAAACTGTGCATTGTAGTGATTGTTTTAGTGTTAGCAAAATAAATTCAAATACACAATCAGATGGGAAGCTAAAATGTTCACAAGCGTTCAGAAGTCCTGAAAAGTGTTTTTATTGAACATTTCCGATTACCAATAGTCCTGCAAATTCAAACATTTCACATAATCTATCATGCACACTATGATGTTGTTTGGGTATTCAGGTGTGCCCCCAACTTTATATTGATGAGTGTTTAATTAAGTCAAATTTGTCTTAATCTGTGCATTTATTTATTTCATCACAGGAAATGTTGAAAGATGAAGTGCGAACTTTGACGTATCGTAATGCTATGTATCACAATAGGCATTTGTTCAAAGACAAAGTCGTCTTGGATGTAGGTTGTGGTACGGGTATAATGTCCATGTTTGCGGCAAAAGCTGGAGCAAGCAAAGTTATTGGGGTAGGTTTAGATGTCAAATATTGCTAAAAACGTGTTATGTAAAGTCTGCAAATTTTGCAAAATCGTTCTTCATGTCTACTGTCATTTCATTGCGCTCTCAATTGGTAGAAGAATTTTCAAGCCTGTGATTGCCTTTATGTACCTGCTGGAGTTCATATCAAGTTTGTAGAAAGCTTTGTACTGTGAAAAAATAATATAATTGTAATGCTTGTTTACAGATTGAATGTTCCAGCATTGTGGACTTAGCTGAACAGATTATTAAAGATAACGGTCTGAGTGACAGTAAGTTGTGCTAGTTTTATTCTAAAAATTCAATTTTGACCAATCAGGGTTATCACTTTACCGTATCAGTATGGTTATATATCAAGTCATGTTTTACCCTTTGCACATGTCATCTGAGTAGATGTAAGTTACGCGGATTTAAATCCTACAATTTTGTGACCAATGCATTGCTTGTTTATGAGTTGCCATGACAAAACTCATCCTCTGGTTGTTTATTTTCAGCTATAACTATAGTGAGGGGTAAAGTAGAAGAAGTTGAACTACCTGTAGAGAAAGTAGATATCATAGTCAGTGAATGGATGGGATATTGTCTGTTTTATGAATCCATGTTGCAGACTGTTCTCTTTGCTAGAGATAAGTGGCTGGTAAGTAAATGCACACAAAATATCCACCTGGACTAGCGTGTGGTACATGCTGGTGTATATAGATATATTCTCATCAGAGGGTTTTAGATGACGATTGATTTTAAACTTTGGACGCACTTCTGCTTTGGTAGAATTAACTCAATTGCTATATTGTTTTTTAGGCAGAGGATGGGCTGATATTTCCAGACAGAGCTACACTGTATGTGTGTGGGATAGAGGATAGGCAGTATAAAGATGAAAAAATCAATTGTAAGTTATTTATTTGTGTAAAAAAAAAGTAGTTCTGAAGTTCAAGATGAAATCAGAAAATTGCAAATTTATACAGGCTGATATTTCTTAGCCGACTATTGCATGATGGTATGAAAACATACGACATTACGGTATGACAGCGTAAAAGGATTTTTATGTTTGAAAGTTGTTGACACTCACTTCAAAAGAGCCCTTGAAATTTTCACTTGACTCAAGAAATGGGCGAGAATGTACATCAGGACTATAGAAATACACAATAACTTTGCTTTGTGCATGGACTGCCCAGCATTTACTTAATACATGTTTGTGTATTGTTTGTAGGGTGGGATAGTGTGTACGGATTTGACATGAAATGTATACGTAAAGTGGCAATATCAGAACCACTAGTAGATGTTGTCGATCCTAAACAAGTCATAACGAATTCTTGTCTTATCAAGGTAAGTTTTATTCATTCACATTTTACTCTACATTATATATATTATTGCATATTTCATACATCTCACCAGACATTCTCTAGACCACCTAGTTTAGTCCAGTTTCTCAATTTCATGTCTCATTTGCATTTAATTATTCAAATTATATACCCATTACACTATGGGCAAGGTTATAATAATTGTGCTATGTTTTGTCCCATCAGGAAATAGATATGTATACCGTAAAGGTTGATGACTTGTCATTCACTGCACCTTATCACCTGCAGTGTCGTCGTAGCGACTACATCCAAGCTTTAGTAGCATTCTTCAATATTGAATTCACAAAATGCCACAAAAGAACTGGTTTCTCGACAGGTAAGTTGAAAGTTATCACCGAGTCAAATAAAAATCTTATGACTCTTACAGTGTAAAGCTGTATAGTCAGAGACAAGAGATGTCAATATGTGAAGCAAATAGTGTTTCTGAACAAGGTTTTACAACTTGTATGGTGTTGAAGCAGCCAAACTATCACTCACTCAGTTATGTGTTTGTTTTGCAGCTCCAGAAGCCCCTTACCACACATTGGAAACAGACTGTATTTTATTTTAATGATTGTTTGACAGTTAAACGTGGGGAGGAAATTTTTGGTTCCATTGCTATGAAACCAAATGCAAAAAACACAGTAAGTTACCTTTTTATTGTCACAATCACACAGTCCTGTCATTCTGTTGACAGTGCTGAGGCAGCGTTGGTTCTAAAATTAACTCTGCCTCATTATGATATGATGATTTCTCCAAATCTCTAATTTCAGTGATTTTTGTAATTTTTGGTTTAAAAAAATGCTATTTTTGACTTCCTTCTTTAAAATAGCTAGTCCAATTGCTTTGATATTTTTGTATGTAGACACCTTTGACATCTGATTTGGACTTGGACTGATTTTTCATTTTGTTACAATAAGTTTAATTTTCTAGTTATGGTGAATAATTTTTTTCATTTTTGGTTAAAAAAAAAAGGTTCTAGTGTCTTAGCCAACAGCTAGTTTCTTCATTTTTTGGTATGCACTTAGATGAAACAGCTTTGTATCATGTAAGGGAACTGTGGGTTTGTGTTTTTTGACTTGTCAGATCATAACTAAAACTATAGGTTTCAGCTATAGTAGCTGACCAGTTGATCCAATCAAATCTGACATACCGTAGGTGACATAATGCACTTAAACTAAATCAATCAGAAAGCTATATACATTGTAGCCTAACACCACAAAATACAGTCCAGCCAAAGACTTACAGCAATGTACAACGTGTATTTTGTGTTCACCAACAGCTCCACTGTTTCATATGTGAATAATGTACATGTGGAATACATTATTTAACATGTGATGAACAACGACTGAACAATTGTCTTGCTGTCGTTAACACATCCCATTCAATATACATGTAATGGATTATGTACATGTTAATTACAGCGTATAACTATCTGTGTGTGACACATTAAACAAAATGTATTTCTTTTTTCTTTGCAGAGAGATTTGGACTTCAATGTTGATATCGAATTCAGTGGTGAACTCTGTCAGTTTTCTGATCAACTCAAGTATCACATGCGTTAAGAATCAACCTAGAAAACCAGCTACAGTACTCCTTTCATCCCTCCCTTCACCCCTCCCCCTCCCCTCACCTACTATGCATATATGCATATACACAGCTGGTCTATTATGAACATTTTTGTACCAATGTGAAGTAAAGTTATTAGTAATGGGCTTCACTAACACAGTCCAGCGACATCCAACCATTAATCATGAATTTTTATGTGCCACTGGATTTTATTAGAATTATCAAAAATAATAGAATTGCAACTATGATATCGTTGTAATTGTCTACATCATGTTAAATTAATTCCTAAAAAAAAAGTTGAAAGGGAATTCATTGTGTCCTTTCGTGAAGAGTTATTTGTTGCGATCTTTTGAGTCTTTGTCCTAGCCGACAATAAACTTGTAGCAGCCTTATTTTTTCACATTCCTGAAGGACTTTCCCATTGTTTTAAGAGGCTCAGATTTTGTAAAAATCGATGTATGTCTGCTTGGATTTGACTTCATTTACAATGCATTTCAGATTCATGTTGGCCATCTTGGATTTTTTGTTGTTGGCCATTTTGGATTTGTTATCAGCCATCTTGGATTTACTTCAGCCTTATTAAATTTCAGATGTGATCTATTTTAACTGTCATGATTGTAGATTTTTCTGTTTTCAACCATCACAGGCTTGGTGGTATCGAATCAGTTGGCCATTTTGAATGTATCTCTCACTGATGTGTTTGTAACCAATTCTTGCAAGCCAGCTAACATCGTATTATTAGAAGATAAGTTCTATTTATTGAATGTCAAATAGTTCTGTGTACATAATACAACATTTGACTGGATTTGAAAAGGTAGACTGCCATGTAGACTATTCACAGATACATTTACAGAGAGTTCTGCTGCATATATGATTATTTGCATTATTTAAATACTAAAATAATGATGTAATGTTTTCCCTGTTAATTCAATCTTAGTCTTACAGTACTGTTGAAGTCAGATGGCATACATTCAATAGTTGTTTGAACTACATGGGACAGCATGCAACTAATAAATGTTGAAATTATTTTCTCAAAGCTCAGTAAAAAGGTTCTGTCATAACCTGTGGTCTTGCAAGCTACAGTTCAGAGGACAAATAAACGTAATTTAAATCTTGGCTTTCTACACAACGACTGAAATTTGTCTCAATTGTGTTTGTTTACAACATGTATGATTATCTATTGACTAAGTCAAGTCTTGTCTGATTGGTCATTGACAATGTTAATGTTCTTTTATTGTGATTAACTGAAACACCTTAACATACTTGAAAAAAAGTTGTCTGCCAACAACACATTGTTTGGTTAATAGATTTGAAAGTTTTATATCAACCTTCCCGTTAATTTATGTGCAACCCACAAAGGTTACACATCTGGTACTTTCAATTCTAATTTCTCTCTTTTTTCCCCCCAAATTTCAAAAAGGTATATCAGAAATTATTGCAGTATAGTTGATTGCTGCCAGAAAGTATCATTTATGTGACTTAAAAATCTAAAAAAAACAAAACTTTGAATCTTGTTGGTAAAAAGTCGTCTTTAAAGATATTTTTCAAATAAAACTTTGGTTTCACTTGTAATGTCTGCCGTTTGTATTTTACTTTTTATTAGCGGCTTCCATGTATTTTTTCTCCCTTTTTTATAACGGGAAAACTCTTTGTCAGTTATATGCCTACATTTCATGTCATAACCACTTTCACTTCACTCCAATACAAGACTCTATATCAGTAAATACAAGCATCATCAAGGCTTTATGCACATTTTTTTTTACCTTTGTAGAAACTAGAATCCTAAATGCATGATTTAAAAAAAGACCACATAAACAGTGTAATTCTAGTTGTGATTTAAGCATGTTTATTTTCCCGATATTCTGGACCGCCCTTCCCTTTTTATGACAGCCATCACTACTGTGAAGGACAATTCACAAGTTGGCCATCTTCACACAAATTTATTAGCCCCTCCCCCTTCCTCACTTGTCTTTAATCTGTGTAAAATTGGTTTAGAACATACAGGGAGTGATGTATTACAGTGGCTGCTGCATATATCTTGTATTTTGTCATAGTAATGTAACAATTCTTTGTGTATTAAAATATTAGAAAAGGAATGGGTATTTCTGGTCCTTGATTTTTACCAAAATGACTGAAGACATCAATTTGGTATCCTCAGATATTCTTCAGATGGATTCTAAGAGCTGAATCTCCTCCTCTGTGAATAAACCTGAACATATTCTGCCTTTGAGAGCTGAACCTCGTGCTCTGTGCATCGGTGGGCGTAAAATTATGCAATCTTGAATCGGATATCAACAAAAAGTACTATTTCCTACACCAAATGTGTACTGTCATATAAAGCTTAATTGAAATCAGTCCAGTCTTATTCGACAACTGGTTGTGGACTGTATTTACACCAAATTTGATTCGGTCAACTTAGAAATAATTAGAAAAGATCTACGGATACATATTTGAATAAACTGAATCCCAAATTAATAATCCCCATTTCAGACGTTGTGTAATCTGCAAGAATGACATTCATGGATTGATGCTCGCAACAAATCAGTGATGTCACATAGCTACAGGTACTTGTACTTGTATGCATAAAGAAGACCAATAAACGCAGGTAAGCCAGAATTCGTTATTAGAATCGGTTAAATGTTTTACATGGTAGAGTATGACACCTCTTTCATCAGCCAAGGATAGCTTATATATATTCAGGCATTACCTCCCATGCTGTTATGCACTTGTGATTAGATGTTTTCACATACAAACTCACCAGTATTCAAGAAATTAAATGTTTATTTTTAAATCATGCAACATTAACATCGAAAATAAGCAATTTAAAACATTTGTCAGATCAATAGTAGATATGAAGGTCCAATAATCAAGTTTGTTTTGTTTCTCGCTACTTATCTGAATAATAAATTGAGTAATAATAACAATGACGTAATTATGACCAAAAAAATGATTAGAAAAGTTTTCTTTTTTTTAAAAACAAAATGACTCGCGAGAACAGTTGATAATCATCATAAACCTCATTCTTTCCTGCGATTACCTGCAATGACAAAATTCTTTCACACTTATTTGAAGAATGTGTTTTGCTAAATATACACTAATACGGATATTCTGTAATTACACAAATGTATGTAATGTTTATCTATAAAAAGAGGTTACTTCTGAGCAGAACATTATTCAACTATACTTCACTAAATTTTGTAATCAATACTGTCATTAAAGTGGGGGTTTCAAAGGTCTTGCTTGAACTGAATTGACAATTCACACACATTCCGAAATTATTCAAATCATGGAAATTCGATTTTTAAGAGAAGTATAAAAATGTCATTAGAGTGAAAAAGCGAGTTACTAATAACAAGAAATTCTCAATTCTATAATACATGATACATATTTCACTAATTCACAACAAAAAAACAAACAGTTTGTGATATGTTTTCTAGGGTCACATTTCCCAGAATGCAGTGCAAGAATTAAATAATAAAATTACAATTATTAAGTTCTTAAGTTGTTCTTTTTTCTATCAACAAATATTATTTTTTTTTGGAAATCGGATGCAATGAAATTAAAAAGTCCTTTTTATATTTCTACTTGAATTTTATATCTGAGTGGTAAAACTGAAACTTGAGAACTACGGCAGTTAATCATACAAACATAATAAACGTGTTGTCATGGTGACATGACCATAATATGAAAATGAATATAAGTTCTGCAATACTATATATTGGGGACTATGCAAGAATATTAGGTCAGTCTGACCTTCAGACTGATTGGGAAACAGACAGTTTTCGTAAAAGGCGAAACTACACTATTATTCTTAGACAAAACATTCAAACCAATTATAATGTTTGGATGTCCATGTTGGGAACGTGCACGTTTATTTTAATTGGATGTAATGGTAAATTTTGCGCACGTGTATATTTATGTTTTGTTAACTTGAAGACTTGATGCAGCACAACAAATATATCCAAATGACCTTTTACACATAGCTGGCGTCCTTCTCTATGCTCTGGTGTAGACAGCAGCAAAATATAAGACTGCATATCTGAATAACAAAAGAAAAAGTTGTAACATAGAAACATCGTATGATTATATGCAGAAACAAAGCAGCCATTTAATTACAACGATGTCTCGAAGATTTAAAGCGGGGGAGTCGTCGCCTGCGCATGCGTTTTTAGCGTGTGTTGTTATCATCGCTTGGGACTCAATTCCCGTGCGTGCGCAGGTGACGACCCTCCCGCTTTAATATGGATGGGAGCATGTCAAATATTGTTGCTTGATACTGTGAGGTTATTACGAGGATACCTCAAAGTATGCACGAAGACAGTACGGCGGCAGTATCGACCGACGTGCAGCGGAGGTCGATGCGACGGTGTACTGTCTAAGTATACATCATGCCGAAGTACAAAATGTTTAGAACAGAACCAGCAAACTTCTTTGTATGGAGTCCGGTCAAACCCTGGTGGTAGCCATGTTTGTTTTTATTATTAGAGGACGCTTACGCGCGTAATCATCCCATATTTGGAATTCGCATTTCCTTATATGGTAGAATAAAAATACCCCGTAAAATACCGCAAAATTACGGCACGCTGTAACTTATGGCGTTACGGTGACAGATGTATAATAATACTATATATTGATAACAGATGATGATTTATTATGAACTGCGCTCTTATTTTTGTTCGTTTGCTCTGTATTAATATGTTCAATAACAATTAGCACACTTTCCATCCAACAAATACTACTGTTTTTTCTACAAAGGAGACATTCATAATGCAATTCGGTCATCCACGTGTGGTTTTAACAACAAATTTTAAATTTAAAAGGATGAACGCATCCCAGGAGTACTAACCTCGATACAAGCGATAGCAATGGCCAGGCCAAAGATAAGCTCAAGATTGTATTGTACCCATTCCAGCATCGCTGTCATGCAACCCTGAAAATCATAATAAAAACACATAATGCTATCATAAATGCACATAGGAGATGAGGTAGAAAACTGTGGAAATGATTTCATCCTAGATTTGTTATTTCTTCTTTTTTAACGATACTCCACCCAAAAGTTGCGTAATAGTCAATCCCCATACCTCATTGAATAACATTTGCGGGTTATTGGCCTTTATGGTTCCACGTGTGCATGCCGGGTAATCATTTGGGTCGATGCAGCAGGCTCGAGGTACAGCTTGATGTGTGGTCTGGTCAGATAGGTACCAACGGCTTGTTTGCCAGTCCTGGTAGTCTCTGGATCCACAGCATTTCCACTGAGGAACAAAAGCAACACATCCGTGAGAATGAAATATATATTTTTTGTGGATCTGATATATAATCAAATAGGCACGTATGATTTGTGATTGCGATAAACCATGGTATCACAATGTATTAGGAATCGCAATCGTAACAATCACAGGTGTAAAGTAAACTCGTGAAAAAAAAAATGAAAGTAAATATTTTGAAGCCATAATAATAAGAATAAATACAAAAGGTGGAAAAGACGAAGATGCCAAACAAGTATTATAATTGAATTTCGGCAGTTCTTTAGACAGAGATTTCCGAACTTTCTATAAACTTGTTTATTATATCCACTTCACTCCAGTTGTCCACGTGGTATTAGCCAGTAATCGAGTCGCCAATGAAGGTGCTAAACTAGCTACGTGAGATGAGAGAAGAAACTAGCAAGTACGTGTGACTGAGTGCTGATACAAATGATGGAAAAGATACTTACATCTTCTTGTAGTGTATCCCATCCCCGAGTGTGGATATGGTAGTAACCATAGTGATAGTCAATTGAGCGTTGCAGATGATCGTCAATACTCCACACGATCTAGAGTAATACATAGTTAAAGATGAAGGAGGAAACAGAAGTTTGTTTTGTTTTTGTGTGTACATAAATGAAATGCGTGTATGTACTATGTAATTGTTTTAGTTTTTCCATGCACGCATTCAAATACACATGGTGCAAATAAATGTAGACTGACGTCATCCCTGACGTCATTGATTCTCATTTCAATTATAGTACATTAAAAAAAAGGTATATGCGGAATAACTAACAATAACCATGTTGTATCGGCTACGTCATTATAACCACACTATTTGATGCAAGAATAACTTCAACGGCTCGATGTGATGACGTCCCTAACTTAAACACAGACTAACTGAGAACACGCAACTTAGTGTGTTCACCGTGACGTGCCCACACCACTTCATTGAAACTGCGGTGAAATGCGTGATAAAAACATACTTACAAGTTCATGGTAGATAATAGCCAGTATAGCAATAATTAACTGGACAACAAGGATGATGATAACGCAGACGAAGTACTGAAAACAAACAAATTAAGTACAATTACGGGGAATCACTTCTGCGCATACGCAATGAATGTGGTTTCTTTAAAATTAAATACATGTTCACAAGTCAGGTAGGTATAGTCAAATTTTGAAATTGATCTATATGACCGATGTTAAGATGTAATTTTTTTCCCAAATCTTAAAAACACAATTGAACGGTGCCGTTCCTCATTAATCGACAATTGAACTCCCACTTAATACTAGCTATCGTGAGGTAGACGCATTATATATAAATGTAAGTTCCGCAGTCACCATGCTGATGATTTCTTAGTTCGCTGTATTACACAGACCACGTACTGAGTTGATTTTTCTCGACGTGATGAACCATGGGTCATCTTTTCTAGGTTATACGAATGAACACAATGAACTTTCTGGGGATTCCACACCAGTGTACACACTAATGTAAATTGTGCTTTAATACCTCAACACATTTTGTAATTACCCACTCAGCGCTACTCCTCCCAGCGTTACAATTACCCTGTTTCTAAATATTGGTGCTTTCGGGGTATTGAAGTAAGTATAATTGTATTGGTAAATTTTAATAATTTGTAAACGCACTTTTATAAAGCGTTAAGCAGTTTTCTCTAATTTTTCTGTGTTTGTAATTTTTTTAAAAGAATTACAATAGCAACTATGCATGACTTTGTTCTGTACAGTAGGATCCACAAACTCTGCTTACCAAAGAAAGAAGACATTTGCTCTCCCTGAGGGCACCGCAACATCCGAAGAAACCGACAAGGCAGATCAAAGCGCCACACGCGAGCAGCGTATATAACACAACTTCGTAGACTTCAGCTCCAAGCAAAGCCTCAAAGTATATCTGGTCGATAGCCATCCATAAGCACAGGGCTATTATCACCAACCCACATAGCTAAAAGAGACAAAATTATAATTATATAGCTAGGGTTTGATACTGTCTGGTTGGCGCTGAAATGAAAGATGATTTGAAATCGTGTTTAAGTAGAACCTTTCCCTAAACCCTAATGTTTGGATGTTTAGTCGTTCAGTGTTTACAATAAAGTAAATATCTCAAAATCGTTATTTTGTATTAACAGAAGACTAGACACCTAATCAATATCGATGATGTCGCCATCTTTGTACTCATGACGTCATATAAACGCTTTACCGCTAGAGGGCGCGACTTACTGGAAAGGCGTATGGTATCGTTGCTTTTTATTTGTTTGCATTATTTATGGCAAAGACAATAAAGATTTTTGTGGTGATATAGGTTATCTAAGATGTATTCGGTGATCCTTCTCGTCGACATTCTGCTTTCTATGCGTAATTGTTTGTTTCACGACGATGGTTGACATCCAGATGAGATCGAGGAGGTCGAGTATCAATTTCACTGTATGATCTGGCTGTCGTTTGCAGCAGCCATCCATAATTTTAAATTCTGCAAATTTCTAGAGAAGGTATATTTTCTAGACACGATAGATCTAAGATATTTTCCTAAGATTGGGAATAAATGGGAGTTATTTATTTGGAATCCAAATGCATACATTTAGCCAATGCACGTAGTCAATAAGTGGACAATATCTCTGAGATTGGATGTAACTTCTCATTTGACCTGCCAAATCAAATGTCCTATTTGTTATACTTTTATCATTATGAGTTCATGACATCAGAATATCGAAAATGAAAACAAAAATTGGAATCACCAGACGATTATTCGAGATACAAGAGTTCCAATGAAAAATGGTCAAAATTATCATTTTTACACTGGTTTCTATGGTGTTTCTATGTCAAAGTTAGGCTCGGTGACATGCGATGAAAACGTCATATATTGATTATATTATTGATATTAATTTTAATACTGTGAAAACAAATTACATATGATTTAGTGAGTTTCCATGGTGATCATAGATTTTCATTATATACAATGGGAGGTTCCCTCCGAAGATACATTACGTAAATGTGCAGTAACATGTTCAGTGGAGTAATAATTGTATTCGCCATTTGTATAATTGTATTCGAATAATCGCCATTACGTCGTGATTATGGTAATGAATGCGATTAATTAGGATATGTATTATTGTCAACTTGAAGTACGTCTCAATGGCGAAAGATTCGACTCATTTGATTATTTCATGATAACAAATTCCGCAAAATTCCAGCGTGTTTCATTTAATACACGCCACAAGTTTTTTTGTTTTTTTAGCCAATCAGAATTCATCTTCCGAGCCAGTGCAGATCAGCCGAATACAGGGAGTAAACTACTCATAATGAAAAGCTGCCACCTGTCATCAAGCATAGCTTCAGTATACGTGTCTCATTTTATTCTTCTTCAGAGAGACCCAGCGTGAACCCAAAATTGGCGCAATTTACATTTTAAAAATTGTTATTTAGCCAAATTATATGTGGATCGTGAAATGGGGCATCCTATGACGCCTAAAATGTAATATGTATTTGTTGGAAATTGTGAAATAGCGTAGCTAATGGCGTGTTTGTTAAAAAATGAAACTAAGTTACTATGTTTATAATTGGATGAATGAGAATGGATTGCTAACGCCTGCCGCTATCAACGACACAGCGTAAATGTACGAGTGAAGTAAAATAGTTGATATCTAAAAGAGTAGCACGTTATTTGCGAAGAACCTGAAGTCAATTCTATATTCTATACTTTTCTATTAAGGTTTTTTTTTTTCATTTATATTTAAATTTTGGCCAAGTTGAAAAATTTAGAACATTCAAATTAATTTAAATTACAAAAAATGTCAAATGATTTCCATGTAAACTCTTGGCCAGAGCAAATAAACTGCTTTACTACGATTTCACGTGTGTACTGGCCAGATATCACGTGTGTACTGGCCAGATATCACGTGTTCTTATGCATGTGCTGGTCATAGCCGGATTTATCGAAGAGAGACATAGGTGGCAGTCATCAAGCGGCTAGATAAAGAAATATGGAAATGAAGAATCATTGACAAAATTCAATATGTGTCATATCTCTTCCATGTTTGGGAAGTTCGTTGTGCATTCAGTATTGGACAAATCTCAGTCAGTGTTGTTGTCCCTGCATTGAGTGTGTAACACACTGATAGTCATCCCTAGTATATACGAATCATTAAACCAACCGATCAATCGTGGTTCCGGTGATCCATCTAGGACCTTTGCACCAATATTTGCGTATTGGTATGTTTTACTGTATTTTGAGCAACGTTTTCCCATATTTTTCAAACACATAGTCAACAGGCAATGTAAATAACTTTAAGTATTTTTGAGTATTTTAAAAGTAAGTTTGTTTGATATTGCTAAATTTAACTTTTTTTTTCAATTTCGGCATTTTGCATACAGACTGGTATTTCATTTTACTCTGTAATCATTTTCTGTGTGTAAGCAGCCACAGACGTAACAAACTGATAACTATCATTATTAAATTCATTATTTTTGGGTTGGCGGGATGAGTCACTCGTACCATTTGAGACTACATATAATGACATTGAAATTTTCAGACCTACTGTAGTCTAGTTGCCAATTATTTGCGATATTATGAACCCTACATTAAAACAGATAAATATTAACCTTTGATAATTCAGACTGGACGATGCGACACTCCGCTCTTGTTACACATTGTATAAGTTTTAAAATATACTATTACCAAACTGATTTACGTATAATGTGAATTGTTTTAGAGACGTTAAATAAATAAATAAATAAATAAATAAATAAATAAATAAATAAATAAATAAATAAATAAATAAATAAATAAATAAATAAATAAATAAATAAATAAATAAATAAATAAATAAATAAATAAATAAATAAATAAATAAATAAATAAATAAATAAATAAATAAATAAATGACAGACAGGCTGGAGCAAATAAATATACACGTTAGGATATTCGGTCATGGCTCTGGCATTTATGCAAATAATGTAAGAAGAATTTGAATTATTCCAGAAAACAAAGTTCACTGTATTACTAACATGACTCATGATACTAGTTAATATTAACAAAACTGTGGGCGACGAATTACTATGAAAAAACATACCGAGTTACAGTGACTACAAGTAATTAGTACCTGGAAAATGCAAAAAAATGTGTGATTGGGGGTAATTTTGACATTTGTATTGAAAAAAATTACTAATGTTTGAGTATTTTATTTGTTTCCACATTGTTCGCATGAAACGTGGTGCCTTTGAAAGGTCACTAGCTTAATGACTGCATACAACACATCGCATATCTATGTAACAATCTTCCACAGGTCGGCAGTAGGTTATTTGTATTGGCACATTTTTAGGTTGTCTATTATCTCAGTCAATAATGTGGGTGATTTTACAGTGCCGTCGTAGTTCGCTGCCCGATTTCAGGGGCGACTCGTATTTAGTCCCGGGGAGTATCATTAGTGGGAATATGTGTATATATTGTGCTTACCAATAATACTGTGTTTACTTTTGATTTTTATTAAATATCGGTTCAAACATACTTGTGGACAATGTGGGTAACTTTTGAAAGCACGGGTTAAGAATTTCTTGACGATGAATTGGAACGTGCGTATATATTCTGGTTTGATTATTTCATTAAACGAATACTGGTATATTTGCTATCAAAAGATCTTTTTATTTTATGTTAAATCTGTTTTCTTATTAATACGCAATATTAATTATACAAAATTATTGTAGCATTGCCTCTTCAAACAATCATGGCTACTCGAGTAGATATTATTATTTTACGGTATTATACTAGTAGTATGCAAATTATCATCCAGTGGTTTGTCAACATATAACAGAGGTCAATAATTTCAATATTGTACCATCAGTACTGTATATTGACCGACCTCACTATTTGTTTAGTATATCTCAATAATGAATAATTGCATGGCATAAAATTGAATTTTACATTACCACGTGGTGCATATGTAAATTTGTCTAGCAGTACGCGGACATGTGCCTGTTTAAGCCACTTTGCCAACCGATGAACTGAATCATGATGATAAAATATGCAAATGTACTTACCCAAAGTATGAACGTAAACAGGAAAAAAAGAAGTCGAATACACCCCATACCAAGACCCATTTTGAATTCTAGTCTTGTCAATCACCTGTGAACCAATCGTATTTACAACATTGTTTTTAAAATCAATTGGTGTAACTCGCGCTGCTCATAGCGATTAGCATTCTGTAACATCGGTTCGAACAAGCATGGAAGTAAAAATAGTATCGTATTTCTCAATTTATTACGATCTCCAAGTATAAACAGATGGACTAACACGAACTAAAACACGTCATGTTATGTAAAACAGGAATTCTTCAAATGTATGGTTTGTTTCGATTGATGAAGTATTTTAAGTTTTTATGTACATGGTATTAGTACATGTGTGTTCTGTTCTAATAGTAAGCATTTTAGAGGTTTGGAAGATTCCTAATATTATCTGTGATGGGCTTGTTTTCGATAATTGTTTATTGTATACCCTTGTGTATTCCACTCACAAAACAAACAGTTGACGTATTGATTAATTCGCTGTGAATAATTATCCTTGTTTTGCCTGATGAGACCGTGAATAAACAAAAAGATTAGTAAATTCGGTATAACTTCTATGAAAAGCAAAATGTTATATTGTATACAATATCCATGTTTATTCGTGTTTCGGACCTTTTATACGTTTACCTACGAATGGAGAATATAACACTTATGTATACGTTACTATATCTACTGTCTTCCACACCTCGTCTCCAAGCTAGCATTAATATTCCATGCGTGCTTATATGACAGCATGAAACTTCCCATACCCACTTTACCCAAATTTCAAAACATCTGACCAAAATTTGAGCATGAAATTATTATTATCAAATTTTCATTTGTTCTTGTGTTAATGCCCCTAATGGCAATTTCCCGCTCAGTTCACATAAAGACAACATATAAATAGTTACTTATTAGGTTATTGAGTCAATAAAGAAGTCGACATTACAGACAGGCACGACTGAAAACCCACTTACATTGTAAAGTCATCTACACCAATTGGTGTATTTTGTATAAAGTAACCTAAATATTCCACAGACTTCAGGTTGAATATGAATTAATGTCCATATCTTTTATAATAACTCTTCGAAAAAAATGGGTAAACACAATTACGTGCAGTAGGAAAAAAACAGCACGATGCCATATATTTGTTTTTGGCGTTGATGGTCCACTCTCAATACTTTTCAGAAAAATTCAGGTAGTTTATTCATTACCGCAGGGAAATATACAATGCAAATTTTATCAAATCGGTCGCCGAGTTGTTCAAAGTTAGGCCTTACATGTAATATTTAAAAAAAATAATTTGGCTCTTGTTATGGTGGACACACCTGTCCGGACGCCATTTTGAAAACGCGACGTATATCGTTAATATTTCATACTTTTTTAGAATTTCACATGAAAGCTAACTAAAATCCAACAAATCACGTTCAAAGTGAACGCAAAAATTATAAACTACGAAATGCAATAATAACAACCAGTATATCGTATGATAATATTGACAACCACTGTTCACGTTTACTATGGATGTTAATTTTCAAATAAGTTTTGATAACGTGCGAAACTTTTCATCGATATACCTCAAACAAAAACCAAAAAAACTTACAAAAAACATAGAAAAGACAGTCTTACCTTTATGATAATAGCTGTTAATATCCAGAAAATGACTGACTTATATTCACGTAAGCGGTGGTATCTTTGGGGTCACAATTTCTCGAAAAACGTTTAGAGGGGTCCGTTAAAACTAACGCTGATCGCACGGAACACGAATTTGACCTCACCAGTTACTATAGCGAGTCAGGTATGGCCAGTATGGCGTTATCAAAGTAACCTTTGGACCCATCCCACTCAACAAGCTATGAAGAAAACATATTATTTTATTTCCATTTACAAATATTTTCTCGCAATTGTGTTAACTGCAAATAGGTTTTGCATTTATTTTTTTCTTATTATTTATCAGATTGGAGAAATATTAAAACGATATCTTCTGACTTTCCTGTTTTTGAAGAGGAACTGGAGGGAGGACGACTAACTGCTGTAATAGCCTGACGCTGAACTAAATTGTCCTTTATACCGAATATTATCAAAATAAATACCAAGCTACACAAATCTAGTGATTTATAAAAAAAAACATACAGGTATTCCAATCATATAATGCTTAATTTTCCGAATCATTTATACAAATCAAATATCATAATTCATAACTGGCTATGTACGACTACCGAATATTAATAAGTAAACCGCTATAATAGCGTACCTAGCAGGCCAACATGATGTCATCAGCTGCCTATGTCCAGGCAGTGAGGTCACGTGACTCGTGCTGGACGGAAGCCGCCTACGTTGAAATGCAGTTACACCTACCTAAGCTCACTGGTTGAATCATAGGCACTCTATCTCAATCCACTCATGACAATTCACCCACTCAAAACAAATAACGGGAACAAAGCGAGTCATCATTGATAATAATGGTACAAAAAAAAAAAGCAATTTAGGTGGGTTACTCAAACCTTGGAAGATTTTTTTTTGACAATTATTTATACTTTTCAAAGTCTTATCCATGCACACACATAATATTCATAATATTCTTGCAATAGAGGGCGACACACATATAATCCTTGCAATGAAAAGGTGGTCAGGATGTTCTGGCAGTCTCTTAAGGCAGAGTGCTATTGATACATATATATATCTTAAAATTGTGATGTACTTGTTTATATCTAGTATTAACAAATTTACATTTTTAGTAGTGATTTCATTTTGGTCTATGGAAATCACTGCTACCTTGCAATTTTATGCATATTATCTGACAGTCTTTCTCAAAATTAAGATTATAATACAGACTAATACAAACATGATTGATTATACACTGATATAACACAAAATATTGTCTTTGTACATGCACAAAAATATGCACTTGTCAAAAAAAAAATAGCATTCTACAATGTACCTGCAATGTTTTACATCATTTTGTCAAAACAATGTTTTTCCTGTTCCTAGATCATTATCTTCCAATTCACCATGCCACACATAATACAATATTATCAAACCATAAATGGGTAGGTAGGCATATTAAAACATTGGTATGAGCTATTTCACTTTAAATCTGTGATACAGATCCAAAAGTATTGACAAGAATGTCAAGAAGACTCTTGAACAAACCATCCATTCAAGCAACCAACCAACATACATAAATCCAATACCACCAAAGTAATGTTTAGAGTTTATTACCCCCAAGAACAAGATACATCAAATGCAAAGCCCCTTATGCAAAATTAAAAATTACAGTACATAAACTTGAAATCAAGCATTTCATTCTATGTGATACACTCACTATCCTTAGTTACCTTCCTGTTATGCCTGTCCTTTGTCCTTCACCATAATAGTTTGGAAATGTTGCATAATTTTGCTCATTTAACCATGTTAGTATACTAGCAGGGATTTTTTAAAACAATAGAACAGGGGTGCAGCCCCCTCATGCCATGGCTCCCTTACACTGGGGAGCAGATCCTTTGGCAACCATCAAATTCTGATTGACTAGGGATCACATGTGGCCACAGTCTTCAACTGTGACCTGTCTGATAGTAGTTTTGGCCATAGAATGCTCCATTTTAACTTAGAATTATCACAACCTGGTAGAAAGAACCCCATCTCCTCCACGTGGTGGCGCCGCTGAATTGAAGTGCTCCCTCTTGCAGTTTTTTTCTAGAAAAAACCCTGAATAGTATTAAAACACCATGAAGAATTTGCTGGCCATGTTTTTATCCCAATGGCAACTATCAGTTGATGCAGCATGAAAGAAGAATGAACACTGTCATCCACTGTTCAGAAAAATTAGCATATTTAGATTAGCAACGTGCTATAAATATCAACCAATCAATATCAGTCATACAAGCTAAATCAAAGCAACATCTCCAGACTAGTATAGAGAGGGACGCAAAACCTACAAAATGATTGGTAACCAGGCTACTATATTAAGGCCACACTCTACAACCAGCTGCCACTGAGACTTAAGAGCTTTATATAAATACACCTAGTGCTATGAAAGTCCTGAGTGACACAAATGTGAGCCAACACAGTAAATAAAATTACAATATATGCAATTCTACATGTGAGAAAATTATGCCCATTCAAGTAAAGTAGGTGACCTTTTCTAGTATGCATTTGCTTTTTAAAACATTTGCTATTCAAAAATGATACTTTAAGCACACTAAAAATATATATGTACAAGTGGGAAGAACATATTGTTTTTATAGACT